GGAGCAGCTGTCCTTGAGTTGAGTCTGGCAGCCTCACTGGGCGGCCTGGAAGGCAGGGTGCAGGAGGAGTCGGGGCAGACTTGATGGGGTCCCTAGCTCCTGGGGAGTCCTCCACCTCTCCCTTCTTCTCTGCCGGGGATTTCTAGAGCACCCACAAGGTGCCGGGAGACACAGTTGCTGGAGGGGCCGAGGGGTGGGAAGGAAGTGCAGACATGACAGCCTCCAGCAGCCCGTCCCTGATTGGGACCAGGAGGAGAGCCCAGTTTCTGTTTCAGAATTCAAACACCCTGTTTTGAATCATGGCTTAATCGGGTCAGCTCTGCTCGTCTTATTTTCCTAAGTAAACAGCAAACCCTCCCTTGGCTGGGGCTGTAATCGATACGACTCCTGCCTCCTGCACAGCACTCGGCATGATGACCTTAAGCCACGAGGTGCCAGTGCTTGGCATGGATGTGTGTGGGGGGGTCTTGGCCTCCAGAGCCACAGTCACTGGACACAGGGCCCTCTCCCTTTGCTGGCAGGAGCGCTTTGGCTCCCACTGGGCTGGTGCCCTCCCACTCGGTCCATCTGGTGAGATGGAGCAGCCGAGCTCCCCACTCCCTCCGCAGAGTGAGCTCTTGGTCGGGGCCGGCCAAGCTGAGCTTCAGAGGCTGGCCTGGTGGCGGGCCCGGGATCCAGTTTGGGGCGATGAGACTCAAGCCTCGGAGTGGGACCGGAATCTGGGCAGCAGAGGTGCGTTCTTTTTCGTTGGCATCGCTGGGAGGAAATTGCCGCAGGGAGAGAAATAAATAATTAAGGAAGGAAGGCCCAAGAATACCGCCTGAGCTCCTGATCCACTCAGCCAGACCCGAATCCCAAGTGTCCCTGGGTTTTTCAAGTTGTGATCTGACAAATTCCCCTTTAGCTGAGGCATCTGGGCTTCAAACGGAGAGTCCTGCCTCCCACCAGGGCTTCCCACGGCTTCCCCCGGTGCAGCTGCTGGAGAGGCACAGAGAACCGGGCCGGACGTGGAGGCCGTGGGTGTTTCTGTGGTGGATACCCCCACGACGAGCCTCCCAGGCCTCAGTTACTCTGTCTGCAAAATGGGGCTCACAGTCTTGTGCCCGCCGGCCCCCGCCGCGTCTTTGACTTCCAGGTGTAGAGCTGAAGCCGGAACCGCTCTCTGGAGTTTCGGGCCCACAAATCCAGGTGTCTCCTGCGCCTTGTCCACAGAACTCACCTGGTTCTCTGTGATCACTTTTCTCTTTCCTTATTCTTCCTGTACTGTGTGGTCCGTTGGGCTCGACAGTGCCCTGTCTTCTTCTCTTAGAGTAGCAGAATTCTTACAGTCTAACTTGGCACATGAGTGGCCCCAATAAGGACGGGCCTCACAGGCTCCCTTGCAGCTAGTGTGTTCATGTGACCGAGTTCTACCCAGTAGGACGTGAGCAGGAAGGCTCTGTGCGTTTCTGGGTTTGGCCCTTAAAAGAGAGACACGTGGCTTCCCTTTCTCCCTGGCGGGGATGCAGACCTGCGGGTGGGCCGTGACTCATCTTGCAGTGCTCAGGGACGGCAGAGAGTAGGACTGAAGGGGCCTCAGTCCCTGGTGCCACTCAGCAGCCTGCACCGCTGCTTCCTGGACCTCCCATGAGTTCAAGGTCAACTTGGTCTGGTTGTTTTGCGTCTCGTTTAGGGTTGCTGGATTTAGCAAATAAAAATGCTCATTTTGCACCTTATGGAGAGCTGGAGGAGGGGAAGGAAGGTTCTAGAACAGGAGTGAAGATGTTCATACATCACAAGAAGGCAGAGTCCCACTCTTCTTTTCTCTTGGACCATCTTCCCCCTTCTCAGCCTCAATTTCTCCTTACGTACGAGGGAGACTAACTGGACGTGATGTTCTGTTAAGTTCTTCCAGTTCTGACCTTCTGTGGGTCTCGCAATCCTAGGACAGATGTTGACACTCAGGTTCCAGGGGGCCAGAGAGCCCCATAGCTGGGTCTGAGGGCCAGGGGTGGCCACGGCAGGCTGGAGAACAGATGTCCCCCCTCGGAGGCCCTTGCCGCAGGCTCCTGTTGATTGCGGTCACAGGGGAATGCAAGATTGCCGGATTGCCTAATTTTTCAAGAAGAGCTGGAAATCTAGATTGTTTTGGTCTGTGCAATCTCCTGATTTTTGAATGTTGGCGATAAATTCACATTTTTTTCAAACACTCTGGGGGCCAAACAAAAAGATCTGCAAGATGAATTTGGCTGGTGGCCACCACTTAGGAATTTCTGTTTTGACACTACTTTTCTTCCTTCCTTCCTTCATTTAACCAATATTTACTGGACACCTACAAAGGGGGTGCACTGTTCTCTGCACTACAGATAAAAAAAGCAATGAGGAAGAGGGGGGTGGCCCTGTCCTCCTGCAGCCTGACGTTCTAGGGGATTGTTCCAGTCCATTCATGTGACAAGTATCTATTCAGCAATTCTGTCCCCTGCCCTGTGCTGAGTTAGGAAGATTAAAAAAGAAAATGGTTCATTTTCTCCCTGCCCTTGCGATGCTCACAGGCTACAAGGGAGGCGGACTCTTCAGACACAAATGAAAAACAAGGGTATAGACAGATGCCATTTAGATGGAAGGAAGAGGCCAGGAGAGGTCTCCTGGAGGAAGGGAGGCCCACACCAGAGTCCCAGCAACTTGGGAGGCTGAGACTGAAGGATCATAGATCCCATGAGTTCAAGACCAGCCTGGGCAGCACATCTCATCTCAAAAAGGAAAGAAAGAGTAAAAATAAAAAAAGAACCAAAACATAAGTAGGACTTAATCCATACAAGAACATTCTAGAACAACATTCTAGATTACAGCAGAGGTTCCACGTGCCCCTCTTCCATGTCTCCTCAGCTGTGACCATTCTTTTAAAATATACTTTTAGTTGCAGTTGGACACATGCCTTTATTCTATTTATATTTACGTGGTGCTGAGGATTGAACCCAGCGCCTCCCGCGTGCTAGACGAGCGCTCTACTGCGGAGCCCCAGCCCAGCCCAGCTGTGGCCATCTTGCACACACAAGCCTTCTACAGTCAGCACCGGTGTTGCCCACCTTAGGGTCTTCTTGGGAGCAGGCCTCAGCCCTCGGTGGGAAGGATTTTGAGGGTGACTATCCCGCTCCCTCACTTCCGGGTGGGTTGATGCCGAGGGGAGTTCCATGACTGGCTCGTGGTCTCCCTGGGACTCGCCTGCTGCCCGGAGCAGTTACGCAGCCTGCTTGGACGTCCTTCCCTCCTGCCTTGCTTCCTGGGGACGCCTGGGTCACCTCCCAGATCAACTACGGCACTCACTCCTGACTCAGGATCTGGTTCTGGGGGCCCCCAGTGGCATCCAGTGGGGACAGGACAGGCTGGCAGGTTCAGGACAGAAAGCTACTCAGGGCACGAAGCAGGAAATGGGGCTGGAGGGGGCCAGCTCCAGGAGGCCCTGGAGGCCGGGCTCCGCTGTCAGTGCAGAAGCCACGGTGGGTTTTCAGCAGGGGGTGATGTCACCAGGCTGGCATTTTAGGACGACCCTTCTGTATGGGGCAAGAGTAGAGCTGGAGGGCAGATGGGAGGTCACGCTGGAGGTGAAGGTGGCTGGGATCAGGGTGGGGGTTGGAGAGGGGTGACAGTGGGGAATGACATGGGCCCAGCAGGGAGCTCTGGGCGGAGTCCTTTACTTAAGAGAGCCCCTGATTTGGCTTAAGGACAGGTGGTGAGACACGCCTGCCAAGATCATACCCAAGGTCACCAGGCCCCGCCCAGGACAGGGTGAGGTGTTCCCAGAGCCACAGAACTCCACGGTGGGCAGCCTCGAAGGACAGGGAGCGCTCAGGGCTGTGTCTGTGGGGCGGGGGTGACTTTACCGGGGCGGGTGGGACAGCTGTGAACAGCCTGGCTTTGTGGACAGTGTACTACTGGGGTCCTCGGGGGCAGCCGTGCGCTCTGCTGCCCCTGACCACGCCGGGCACAGCCCAGAAACCCACGCCGGTTCCCACAGCCCTGCTAGACACATTAACGCATTCCTACGCGGCCAGAGATTTCGGCACCACCAACACCATTTTTACATCCTTCGCAGCGTCATGGCAGACAATAAATCTATCTTGCTAATTACACATCCAGCTCCCTGCGACCCCCATAAAAACCAGGCGCAGCTGGAAAAGCCATGAGGTGATGTCAAATCATATTCCTGGTCTCTAAACAGAAACAGAAATATTTTCCAGGCGCTGGCGAGAAGCAAGGTCCCATTCATGCGGGGGAGCAGCTGCCGTGGGTCACTCACCTCTGAGGAGATGGTCACTGGGCTGTCCTGGAAGCACTGCCCCCTGTCCCCAAGGGCCCCCTAAAGAGATGGCAGCTGTCTGGGGGCATGTCCTGGGGTTGTGAAGAAGTCCGCGGGATGGATGCGAAGAACCCGCGAGGTTTTAGCAATCGGGGTAATTCCTGCATCATTAAGGGCTTTCAGGTCTCTTCACCCACCACCAACAACCGGCACATTTGCCCAGAATTCTAACCGGACGGGTCCCCAACATAATTTGTCCATGATACACTTGCAAAGCTGTTGCTAAGTCCATGCCGGGGTTGCCAGGCCTCTCTCCGTCTCTAAGACTCTGAGACTCTCAGCTCAGCAGCAGGGAGAACCCTTGGAGGGTTTTCTAGCAGAGACAACTGCCTCTGGCCACAGGGTGTCCCCGCCCTTTAGGAAGGGGACAGCTGAAGATCACAGCTTGCATGCTACCACGCAGAGCCCAGTCACTTGGTATATCGGAAGAAAAGGCTTGGGGCACAAGAGAAGGGGATCAGAACTCTCTGGGTACAGAATCTAATTCTAATTAAATTCTCACGTGTCAAAGGAAAATGCTCGGGGAATTTCAAACCTGGGCAGATCTGAACAGGTGGCTCTTGTTGGAGAAGCCACCGGAGGAACTGCCCCGACAATTCCCGGGAAAACTGGCTGCACGGAAAGTCACGTTGTTAAAGAAAAGAGAGAGAAAGCGGATTCTTACCTTTCCGTATCTGGAGGCGAAGGTCCCCGTGAGTAGGGAGTGAAAAATAATTATGGTCTCATCCAGGTCCCACACGAACACGCGCTGGGGGGACAGAGAGGAAGACAGTGGGGACAAAGGGACTCATCAGCCTCTGACTTCACGTCTGCAGACATTAATTCCCCTGGAGGACAAGTCTTGAAACATTTCACCCTTCAGTTACAAAGCAGGGGACTCGGGGACGTGTTGTGAGTCCCCATCCAACCTCAGCTGCCTCAATGTGTCATGAAGGCCCATCTCCAGGTTCCTGTCCACCCAACAGGTGCCAGAACCAGGAAGCCTGTCCCTGCCTCCACACAACAACTCGGAGAAGGAGGCGCTCAGGCCAGCCCAGCAAGGAAACCACAGAATTCACTGGACAACCTGAGATAGGACCACTTCCACTGCCCGCCCTGAGTCGCACCGTTCCTGACCATTCTGCTCTCCTTGGCTCGCGGTCACGTATCTTTACTCGTTGATCTGCCGACAGTGTGGCCGTGTCTCCTGACTGGCCGTCTGAGGACCAAGGCTCAGCTGAGGCCCGCCTTTGTTCCTCTGTGACCTTACGTCTTCCACTAGGTGAATCCTCCTATTTCCAGTTCCGTTAGCTTTGGACGTTGGTCAAACAGGAGACCCAATATGATATTTCTCCTGTCACCCTTCTCTCCGACATCTTCATCTCTAGCTTTACTTCTGCATTGTCAATGGGGATGAATGGGTGTGTGTTTGGTTTTATATAGAAAATCAAGTCTTTTGTACTCTGTCTGCATGTTGATTCTAAAAGTTGGCGACCAGTAAAGAACATTTGCGTCTTGTGATCATTCTTTACCGCAGAACCAAAAACGTTCTAGATGTCACTTTTTTTTCTCTCTCTATATATATGTCCAGTCTCATAGCCCCAGATCCACTCTAATGACAATGTTCTTACTGTCAAGGTCATATGTATTCTCTTCTCTTGAATTCCTTCCTGATTAAGATAATATACCATATGCCAGTTTTATGAATCAACTTGTCTGGTAGGACTTTTTGTTTTTGTTCGAGTTTATTCATTGCTTTTATTTTTTCTCGTTTTCTACAAATGCCTTCATTATAATGTCCGGTTTAGTCACACCCTCTATATCAAAGATGAGCATCCTCAGCATCAGTATCAGATTTCTGTATCAGAGATGCGCATCCTCTGATAGAATGCTCCCAGGTGAGCTGGATTTATATGGACTTTCTACAGAACTAACGCTCTGAGACCTCCCTCTAGCGCATTTGTGGGTGGGAGCCACTGTTACTTGGATTCCAAGTCTCTCTCTTACTTGGTTTTCTTCCTTGTTTTACTTGAGTACATCCTTAAGTTGCTATTTCTGAGTGGATTCATGGAAAGAAACCTTCCTAAATTCCTACATAGCTGCTGTCCTTATTTTCTCTAGAGTTTCTCTGGGTACAGAATTCTAATTTGAAAACATGTCTTCTAGACCTCTGAAGGAATCATTCGTTATTTCCTCGTATCCGTGGTCATTGATAGAAGATCTCATGAGTCTCTGATTCCTTATAGATTTGACTTTTTATTTTCTTCTAGGGTTTATAAGGATATTTTGTTTTTCCTTGATACTCTCAAATTTCATAAGGCGTTATTCTACCTAGGTGTGAGCTTTTCTCATTTATACCGTTTAGCACTTGAACATTTTAATCCAATGACCTGCGTTTTCCACAGCTCTGAAAACTATTTTCTTCTATCTTCAAATAATTCTTCCCACCTTTTTTTTTTTTTAAATTTTCAGCCGTTCTCTCTTTCTGGAATTTCTGATAGTCAGATTAAACTTTTTAGGATTGATGATGTTCTTCCTTTTAAAGAAGATTTTCCATAAGGTCGTCTTTTTGATCTATGCTTTGGGATATTTCTTTCCTTTTTCTTTTGGTACTGGGGATTGAACCCAGGGATACCTAACCACTGAGCCACACCCCCAGCACTCTTTGTTTTGATTTATGGTCTGGCTAAGTCGCCGAGGCTGGCTTTGAACTTGTGATCCTCCTGCCTCAGCCTGCCAGGTCACTGGGATTTCAGGCCAGCACCACCACACTCGGCTTCTGGGAGATTCTTAAACTTTCTTTTTTGACCGTTCTCACAGTCATTTAAAGATTTTCCAATAGCTATCTTTTTCTTCTGAATATTTCTTCCCCAATAGCCTCTACTTATTTTATGGATCCAAAATCTCCTTGAATTTTTATAAGAAAACCAATTGGATTTTTCTAAGTTCCTTTCTGTTTCTTAAATTACTTTGCTTCTTGTTTATTTATTTATCCTCGTTTTTCAAACTGTTGGTCTTCCTCATTTTTCTGGTGATGATTATTTTTAAGAACAAAGGACTTTTTTTTTTTTCTTTTCTTAAATCTCTGTGTTGAGAGGAGAGCAAAACATCTCCCCAGACTGCCACTGTGGCCACCTTTGAAAACTCTCTGGAGGTCAAGAATCATATTTCCACCAGGCACTGGCCATGCCTTTAAAAGTACAAAGAAGCATCTAGAATGAAAAAGTCAAATCAGCACGCCCGCCCCTAACACGGGGGTCTCTGAAGCCATCAGTAGAGTTGAGTGTTGTCTGTAAGTTGTTTTGGTTCAGCTGCTCACGTGTCTGTGTGGTCACGTGTCTGTGTGGTCACGTGTCTGTGTGGTCACGTGTCTGTGTGGTCACGTGTCTGTGTGGTCACGTGCCTGTGCCTGTAGGTGCTGGGTCACATTCTGGGTGTGTTTCTTATTCGAGTCATGGTAAAAAAAAAATGTTTGCAAGCCATTGCTTTTGAGGAGGCCCTCTGAGGTTCAGGTATGCTAATTCTTAATAAAAATGGGGGGATCAGTTTAATTTAGGAATTTTAGTTATAGAGGTTTTTAAAAATCAGGGAGTACTTTAAAAGTTGGTGCGGGCTCCATCATCCATCCATTCCAACCCTCTGAAGAAGGTCCGCCTCCCCCCACTACCTCATCCTCCGCGCCCAGCCCTGGAGTCTCAGTGGGTCCACTCTCCCTGTCCCTGAGCTGCCACAATTTGGACCTCAGTGGGTTCATGACCCCGGATGGGTCAGATCTTTATTTGGAAACTTAAAATTGGGGCTTAGAAAGAAAGTCATTGTCTCTGGGGGCTGGTGGCCCGTTTTTGACATGTGATCTGAAGGACAAAGATGGCCAATCCACAGGGAGAGAAGGACAGAGGGTGAGAGAGAACCCAACATTTTCCCAGGACCTGATTTCAGCTGAGAGCAGAGAGGGGCCAGGGGAGGCCTGGGGGCAGCCATGCTGAGGCACCCGTGTCCAGGCACTAAAAGACGCCCTCCTCGGGGGACTCTGGCCCACTCACTGTGGCCTGTGGCAGGGGAAGGCATAAACATCTCCCTGCCCTGTCCCCTGGCCTTGGCAATATTCTGCTGCACCCCTGCCCTTGAGTTCTAAGAGGGTCTCTGCAGCTTTAAAAGAAATCCTGCTTTTTCACTTAAGCCAGCTCAAGTTGGTTTCTGGCACTTGCAGCCAAAGGATTTTAGCTAATACACGCTCAGAATTTTCCTTCTTTCCACTTCAACATGATTTCTCTCTCTTGGGCTTCAGTCATTAGCAGAACCGCCGAAGACTTAAGAGGTGCGACCCAGGCGGCCCTCCCTGTTGACACTAAGCCCAGAAGCGAAGCACACCTCACACCTTTTTGACTGTTCTCTCCCAGTGGTACTTACTCTGCAATCAAGAAGCAGATGTTTCCAGAATAATGTCACCCTATAATCCCCGACTTCCATGCCACAACCCTTCTCAGTTTCATGGAAAAATGTCTCTGCACTCCCAACGTCCCCTACCAAAAGCAGAAGCCATGTTGGGTGACCCAATATTTGGGGGGAGGAAATATAAAAGTAGGCATCGCTGACCTCCCTCAGCCTTCTGCAAAGACCTGAGTCCACTGAAGGCCTGGGCAGAGCCTCCTAGATTTGGGAAGCGGGGTGGGGGTGGCCTTAAAAACGAGGGGAAGCTGGTGCAGTGCTTGCTCTTGGAGTCCCAGCACTCTGGAGACCGAGGCAGGAGGATCGCCTGAGCCCAGCAGTGGGAGTTTGAGGCCGGCCTGGGGCAGCACGGTGAGGCTCCACCTCAACAACAATAATGACAGGAAAAGCAAGAACAGGCTGTCCTGGCTCTGCGGCAGAGCCCTCGGCCAGATCCAGGGCTGGTATACCGCAGGAGGTTGGCTAATAGTGGGGGACAGTGTGATGTAATATAATACCTTCTCGGACCATCAGCCCAGCACCTGCCGTAAGTAACCGCCGTAGCTGTGCTAGTGGATGCTGGCTTGATACCAAGTACCTCAGATGCGGCGTCTGTGCTCTGGGCCCCCCAGCATCCAGCCCAGGTCTTTGGAGAAGAGCACTTTGGTTTTCCTTCTCCAGTGTGGGCTGTCTTGGTGGAGATGTCAATCAAGGGGCAAGCACGTGACCCAAGCCGGGACCATGGGATGCTGTCGCTTTGACTCTGACACTGGGTGAAGCAGCACTAGAGCCTAACACGGGTGCTCCTGGGTGGAGCGAGCACCTTGAAAGTTCCCTAGATTCCCCAGCACGGCCTCGGTCCCCTCCTTCCTCAGCATGGTCGATGGCCGTCCCTTCCCGTAAGTCCCTTTTCCTTAAGTGTCCAGAGCTGGATTCTGTTGCTTGCCACCGAAGATCATAGCTAATGCTCCCACGTTCTTAGGCTCCACAAGAGGCTCCACGCCCACAATTCAGCAAGCGGCCGGACTGCAGATGACCCCTGCAGGCTTGGCCCACCAGGAAGGCGGCGCTGACCAAGCCACACGGGACAGTAGAGGTTCTTGTGTTTTCTGAGACCACTTGAACCCTGGGATTCTCACACAATTCTTGGGGGAGGGAGGCCCCGGTAACGAGATGGAACAATCGGTGAAAATCACCTGATTGTTAGGCCTTGGTGGAGACGGCATTTCTTAGTGTGTTTGACTTTGTGGCTGAGCTTCGTAGCTGCTGCGTCAAGTGCACAGGGTACAAACAGGGAGTTGAAGATGGTGCAACTGAACTGCTGGCGCTGACCCAGGCTTCGCCAATCCCACTCGGGTGCCGGGGCGCACTCCAGCCGACGGACGGCCACCTTTTGCACAGATGCACAAACCTGCAGATTTGCTCATCTTCCTTCCTTGGTCAATAATGCTCACCTATGTCTGCTTTTGGGAATTCATTAGGCCTGTGTCCCCACTAGGATTCTCCCCATGTATGCTGGTTTTGGAGGGGCATTTCAGTGTGACCCACAGTTATTTGGTTTTAACATGGTAGGAGCACGCTTAGGCCTTCAGCTCTCAGCCCAGGCTGCACGTCAGACCCCTCTGGGAGACGCCTAGGTGCCCCCTCAGGAGGAGGGGGCCTGGGGTACAGCTTGAGAACGAAGGGTTTCTCCGAGCTCTGCAGCGATTCTGATGGGCACCCAGGCTGAGATCAGGAACGCAGCCCCATTTGACCCCCGCTCCTGGTGGTCAGTACGACTTTGAAAACTGCTCCAGAGGATCTCGATGTGTTCTGGGGCCCGTCATTGGTATTTTACATTCTGAGGACTCTGCCGTGTCACCAGGGCAAGAACCCCCTAACCAGGCCAAGGCTCCTGCCCGTCATCTTCTTTACCAGGGGCTTTCAGGGCGTGCCCCCCAAATCCAGGGCATGTCAGCATCCCCTGGAGACTTGCTAGACACGTAAAGGCCTCGGCCTACCCTGGACCTAAGGAACTGGAGACTTTAGAGGGCCTGGTGGCCCCTTGATGCTGCTGAGCTTTGAGAAGCAGGCTCCGTGCGGATCCAGGGTGGTCCCACTCAGCCCTGGGCCTCAACAGTGCTCCCCATGGCCACGCTTTCTCTTCCTGAGCTTCGTGAACCCCAAGGGCAGTACCTGCCCCCCACCCCATTCCCCTGCGCGTGGAGAGAACTCTGCACCCCTCCCGTCCACCAACATTAGGGCCACAGGGAGAGATCACACCAGTCACACTCAGGCCCTCTGGATTACCTCGATCTCATTGTCCCCTGTCGGGGAGGGGTCACTGCTCCGCTTCGACCGTCCCCGGAGCTTCCCCTCCGAGGCCCGGTGTGGCCTGTCTGTGTCCCCCTCTTTTGCCGGCGTGGAGGGTCCATTGTGCGTGTTGTATTCACCTGAGCAAGACAGGGAGCGGTGGGCAGATCAGAAGCGCTGCCGGAGGTGGCTTTCAGGAAACAGCACACCTGGGGGCGGGACTGCACAGCCGCAGCCCGGGGCAGCCCTGGAGGCCGAGTCGGGGGCCGAAGCTGCTCCTCAGTCACCCACTCACAACACTCACGGGCTTTCATTCATCCACCAACCAGCTGTGACTCAGGCGCTGGGCCACCTGGCACCTGGGGCACCAGCACTTAAAAATTCTAGCGAGGGCTGGGGACAGAGCTCAGTTGGTAGAGTGCTTGCCTTGCACACACAAGGCCCTGGGTGCAATCCCAGCACCACACACACACACACACACACACACATACAAAAAAAAAATGAAAGACAGAAAGTAAAAAGTTCTTCGAGAGGAGAGAGACCTCACCTGGATAAACAAGTCATTCTAATGTCAGGAGGGACATAGCAATCAATCAGGACTGGGCAGGGCTGCTGAGAGGTCACCCCATTACACGGGGCTCATCACAGAAGGCCTCGTGGGCGAGGGGACACCTGACCAGCCATCTGGAGGAAGTGAGGGAGGGGCCCTGGCAGAGCTCTGTTTATGGTGAACAGCTTTATGTTTACAGCTCTGTGCATCCAGAAGCCGCCTCACAGGTGGCTGGGCACCCAGGATTTCTACTGCTGTGGTCTGGATTGGTTCATGTGTTAGGGGCTTGATCCCCAAGGCGGCCGTGTTGGGAGGCGGGGCCTAGTGGGAGGTCCTTAGTCAACTGGAGAGATCAGCTCTCAGAAGGAACTGAGGTCCTACCTGGTGGAGTGACCTCTTCCTCCTGCAGACACTTCCCCGCTTGTGAGGCCATCAGTCATGAGCCCCTCACCAGAGCTGAGCTATGCCAGCCCCATGCCCTTGAACCTCAGAACTATGAGCCAAGAAAATCTTTTTCTTTGTAAAGTGAGTCTGCCTCAGGGGTTTCATTATAGCAACAAAAACTGACTAATACCATCAACCTTAAAGACAGTCCTCCCAGGAGATTCCTCAAAAGACTAGGCATGGACCACCATATGACCCAGCTGTACCACTCCTCAGTATTTATCCTAAACAATTAAGGTCAGGGGCTGGGGATGTGGCTCAAGCGGTAGTGCGCTCGCCTGGCATGCACGCGGCGCTGGGTTCCATCCTCAACACCATATTAAAAAAAAAATAATAATAATAAAGATGTTGTATCCACCAAAAACTAAAAAATAAATATTAAAAAAAAAGAATTAAGATCAGCATACTGTAGCCATAAAGCAGCGTAATTCACATCAGCCCAGTGGAACAGCCTAGGTGTCCATCAATGGATGAATGGAAGTGTGGCCTACATACGCGATGGAGTTTTATTCAGCCATAAAGAAAAATGAAATGTGTCATTTGCAGGTAAATGGATGGAATTTGAGAACATTATGTTAAGTGAAATTAGCCAAACTCAGAAGGTCAAGGGTCATAAGTTCTCTCTCATATGCGGGATCCAGAGAGGAGAAGAGAACAGAGTGGGGGGATCTCGTGAAAATCAGAGGAAGTTCAGCAGAGGAGAGAGACCAGTGGGAGGGAGGGAGGGGGAAATAGGGAGAGATCTGCCAAGCTGCATTGTGTGCTGTGTGAATGTGCAACAAACCCACCATCACGGACGACTGTCATCACCAATAAAAATATAGGAAACAGAAAAAATAAGTCCAAACATTTCAGTTAAAAAAAATAGAGGGGGGCGGCCCCCCAGAGGTAGATGGGGCAGGTGGGAAGAGCTCCCTCTGTCCTCCTGTGGGGTCTGGACCGGGGCTCGGTTACAGCAAGCCCTTTAGGCTCTGCCTGTTGAGGTTTGCTGACCTGAGAGCTACGTGACATTGTCTGTGCGGAGCGTCCAGGACGGGCCAGGCAAGGCCCGTGACGCAGCCCACAGGCCCACGCAGGTCAGCGAGAAGGGTCAGAGCAGATGGGACCTGTGGCTCTCATCAGGGTGGCCTTCAGGGTGTGGCGACGCCGAGAGGCCGTTGTCCCATAGCCCCAGACCAGGCAAGCTGTTGGCTGCACGCCATCATCTCGGATTAAGTAATGAGGGGCCCAGGCTTAGGGGGGTGCTCCAACTCTCCTGCTGCACCCTGCAAGTCAGTGAGAACTTAGGCCTGTCTTTGTCACTAAAGAGTGACAGAATCGCGAACCTGCATGGAGCCTCGGGGGACCTGCCATCCCACTTTCTTACCTCACTGTTGCTTGTTAGCTCCCAAATGCATCCTGCAGACCCCTCTCTCCTGCCGCAATGGCCGGTTCTTGGACCATCTGGGGGAACTGCCTTCGTCTGAAAGCACTTGGCAACGGACTGACTCTTTTTCCTACCCTGGAAGGACGGTTTCCCCCCAAACCCAAGGGACTCGACGCTGTTTATTTAATGTCTAAAAAACTTAGCAGACTAAGGACATAATAAAAAGGATGGGATCTTGGATCGTCAAGACAACCCGGTGTTCTGCAACACCCGGGCATTTTTAGGACATAGCCTCAGAGATTCCCAAACCCTGAGCTAGCAACCCTTTGTTCAGGAGGAAGAATTTCTTCCAGACTCACAGATGCTCAAGAACAATGTCATAAGGTCCATCCTGAGTCACTTGGTCATTTAAGGTATTGGGGTTTAGAAAATAGCGGTTATCCCCATTAAAATCCAGGAAAACATTATTTTTCAAGGGGTAAATGCCAGCTACCTTACGGAAGGTCTAGAATAAGGTGTGTGAAGCCAGATTAGCAGGGTTGCCCGGGGTTGGGGGAGATATAGACCTTTCTCCAACATTCCGCATGCTTGACAGCGAAGAGCCCAAGTTCAAGATCAGAGTCAACAGTCCTCAAGATAGAGCGATTCATCCCCCTTCCTTGGGGTCACTTAACTCTCTTTCTCTCTCCCTTTTAATGTACAGGTCGAGCACTCCATATTTGAAATGCTTGGGACCAGAAGTGTTTTTCAGATTTGGGAATTTTTCAGGTTTTTGAAATATTTGATAGACTTTATAGGGTAAGCACTTCTCACCAGATGGAGCTCTGGACCTCAAAAAGTTTTAGATTTGGGGAGCATTTTGAGTCTCCTTGTGATCCTGCCTCTGGCCCTGCTCCCATGAAACCTCTGATCTGTTTCCTCCACTCTCCATTAGACTCGTCCACTAGGGTTTTAAACAAGTGGAATCCCACAGCACAGGTGCGTCCTTTTGCCGTCTGGCTTCGTTGGGTCAGCATAACTGTTCCGTTCAGGTTATGCATGTCAGCGGCTCGTCCCTGTGTGACTACACACAGTTTGTTCATCCATTCACTGTGGATGCACGTTTGGGTTGATTCCAGTTCCTGGTGGCAATAAAGCTGCTATGAATGTTTGCATATCAGTCTTTGTATGGACAGAAGCTGCTTTTCTTTTAGGAGTTCCGTGATTGCTGGGTCACATGGAAAGCCATGTTTGACGTTGTGAGACAGCGCTGAGCTGTTTGGCACAGTGCCTGGGTCCCTTCGCCTGCCTCCTCCGTAGCTCCTGCTGCTCCACCCCACCGCCAGCCTTTGCAATGGCCAGTCTCTGTGACTAAAGCCATTCCTGGGGGTACCCAATGGTGTCTTATTATAGATCTAACGTGCCTCTCTCTAATGGCTCATGACACTCAGCATCTTGATCATGTGATTTTTTCCCCCCCATTCCTAAATCTTTGGTGAAGAGTATATTCAAATCTTTTGTCCGTTTGTTTACTGAAGAGTTTCCCTATTGTTGGATTCTGAGAGTTCCATATTTATTCTGGATGTCTATACTTTATCAGGTAAATTATTTTCTCCAAGACCACAGTTTGTCTTTTCATTCTTCTGTTTGAGATTTTTGTGAAGTTCAATTGATATATATATATATATATATATATATACACACACACATTTTTTTTCTTTTTGCATCAAGCTTTTGGTGTTATGCACGAGAAACCTTTGTAACTCAAGTCACAAAGATTTCCTTCTGTGTTTCTTGTCGAAATGGATAGTTTTTATTTAAGCCTATGATCTACTTGCCATTACTTTTTTGTCTTGTGGAGTATAGGCTGAAGTCTAGGTTTTCTGGATATAGATGTCTGTTTGGCATCTTCTATTGAGAAGATTACACTTTCTCCATTGAATTGCCTTGTTTCAAAAATCAGCTTGTGGTCAAAAATCAGTTGTGTGGGGCTGGGGCATAGCTCAGTTGGTAGAGTGCTTGCCTTGCATACACAAGGCCCTGGGTTCAATCCCCAGCACCACAGACACACAAAATCAGTTGTGTGTACTCATGTGGGGTTATTTCTGACTCCATGTTCTGTTTGGAACAGTTCATTGTTGGTAACTGTAGTCACCATGATGCACAAGAGCTGAACTTATTCCTCCGGTCAGGCGGAAACATTGTACCATTTGGCCAACGTCTCCCTGGGATTCCATCCCGCCCCCTGATGCCTAGTCCAACAGCGTGAGGTGTTTCTGAGTTCCACGCTTTAGATTCCACATACAAGTCAGATCATGTGGCATTCTTTTTAAGTACAGATGCCTTTAGTGACTTTTCTTGTTTTATTGGACTAGCTATAACTTTTGTATAATGTTTAATGGAAGTGGTAAGGCGGACAGCTTCATCTTGTTTTGATTTTAGGGGTAGCTGTGGGTAGTCTTAGCTGTCCAGTACTATAAGTTTTCTGCTGTAACCAAAAATGCCATAAGTAGGCGCCTTCAACAATAGCAATTGATCTCCCACAGTTCCAGAAGTTAAAAGTCCAGGACCAAGAGGCCAGTTTATTGATTTCCTGGTGAGGGCTTACTTCTCGGCTTGTAAACAAGGGCTTTCTTGCTGCGTCCTCATACTGGGGAGAAAGAGGGAGAGAGAGAGAGAGAGAGAGAGAGAGAATACCTTTTCTCTCTTGGTATCTCTCTCTCTCTCTCTCACCAGGGATTGAACCAAAGGGTGCTTAACCCCCCGGAGCCACACCCCCAGCCCTTTTGAGACAGGGTCTTGCTAAGTTCTTAGCGCCTCACTAAGTTGCTTAGGCTGGCTTTGAACCTGTGATCCTCATGTCTCAGCCTCCCCAGATGCTGGGATTACAGGCGTGTGCCACCTTGCCTGGCTCTCATCTCGTCTTCTAAGGTTCTTGTCAGGGCACTAACCCCATTTCTAAGGTCCCCACCTTCATGACCTAAGCACCTCCCAAAGCCCCACCTCTCAGTGCCACCATATGGATGACTAGAACTGCAGGGCATGGATTTTGGTGGTGGTGCTGATGGGGACAAACGTTCAGGCCATCACCCGTGCCTTCTGATTTAAAAAGGCTTTTTTTATACCCTACTTCTGGTTTGGTGTTTTCGAAGTAGATGATGGGTTTTATCCAATGTGTTTTCTGCATTTATTGAAATAATCTTTTGCCCCTCAGTTTGTGAATGTTGCAAATTATATTGATTGAATCTCAAATTTCAGACCAACTCTGCATCCTTGGGACAGACACCACGCTTCTAAAATTCATTGTTGGACTTGATTTGCTAACATCTTGTTCAGAAATTTTATACCTGAGTTTCTGAGGCCTGATGGTGAGTAGTTTTCTCCTTTGTCTGGTTTTGATATCAGGATAGTACTGACCACAGAATGTGTTGAGAATTATGGCTTCTTTTTCAATTTTCTTGAAGAATTTGTGTAGAAAGGATATTTCTTTGATAGAATCAGTGAAGGCCTCTGGACTTGGCATTTTCTTTATGATTTATTTCATTTTATTTTTGTACTGGGGATTGAACCTGGGCCTCCAGCATGATAGGCCGATGCTTTGCCACGGAGTCACACCCTCAGCTCTTGTTCATGATTTTTTTCAAAACAACAAAAAGTCAATTTATTTGACCGACACAGGCCTATTTAGGTGACCTCCTCCTGTGTGAGTTTTGGTAGTTTCTTCTTCTTTCTTTGTTTTATTGGAGCATCACAGTCACCCAGGAGAGCCGGGTTCACTTGACATGACCACACACACACACACACACACACACACACACACACGGAAGTCAATCTGCCTCAGTCCCTCTCCAGCTTGGTCAGTTTCTGTCGTGTGAGGAACGTGTCCGTTTCATGGAGATTGTCAGATTCTGGGCGTGACAGTCACGTCGCATGGCTGTCCTTGGCCGATTCTTGGGACGTCACACCTTGCATTTCTTGGGTGACTTTGTACCTTCCTTTTTTCTGACATTTTCTGGTTTGGGAGCTCGTGGATTCCATGCGGATCTTCATTGTTTCCTCAGGTGGAAGACGAGGTCCTGCTGTGACCTTTCTTCTTTTCTGATTCAGACCCTCTGCCCTACAAACGTCCCTGTGCGAACAGCTTTAATGATATTCCCTAAATTCAGATGAGTTGTGTTTTAATTTTCACCTGGTTCAAGTACGTTTTAATCTCCCGTTGGCCCGGGGGTCGAGCAGCTTCGTCCACTGTTGGCATTGATGCAGCTGCTGACTCGGGTCAGCGCAGAGTGTCCTGAGGCAGGAGCGGGTGGGAGCGTCAAAACAGCATCGGCAGGTGGGTCTGTCGGTGGCAGCGTGTGAACTGCCAGCCTCTGGAGCTTGGAAGCAGCCCTCGAGGGGACCCTGGATAGTTTCCAACTGGTTTTTGTGGGAAGCGTGCCCACTCACATGCCCTTCCCTTCTGACGGACACTGGGGAGAAGAGGCCAGGGACCTGAGTCGGAGCTGACAACTGTTGATGTCATTAGGGTTTATGGGAGCTTGTTAGACCCACGGTAAAATCCAACTCACCCACTTATTGTTGGACCTTAGACCGAAGGATCAGTGAAGGACAGGGGAATACCAAAAGAGGAATTCAGAGAGACACAATGTCACTTACTTCTGACGGGGAACAAAGATAACCTTGCAGCATAACCCAAATTCTTGGAAAGGGAGTCTTTAGAGTCCTCTTTGCCGTGGGATCATGGATACACAGTAGCATCTAATTAATTCTTCCTTCTGTCCTTCCTCTCTTCCCTGATTTCTTATCAGTTTTTTTCCGTGGTTGAAACCATATGGCAGAGGTCACATTCAAGGTGTCTGAAGATAATCCAAGGTTATGAAGAAGGAAAGTTTGTCATACTTCCTGTTCTCCAAAGAAAACAATTTAGAAGTTGCTGAATAGGTTCTATGCATGTGCTAAATACTCTGGAGTGAGAACACAATGACCAAATCAATGCTCAAGCCTCGAACGTCCTTAAAACTTGACTTAAAAATGCTTGTCCGCCTTGTCTGCGACTCAACAAAGCAGGGATAAGCACCCCCCCACACACACTCTGCCCCCTGTGGGCGGAACGTTCTGGGTTGAATCCAAAGCCGCACTGAGCACCCCAGCTGTTCCTTTTCTGTTCTTTCCCCTGAGTCTGTATTCACGAAGGTCCACACGCCCTCAAGCTAGGTTGGCTTCCACGAAGCCCCAGAACGTTGGTGGCTTTCAGAGGAGAAGACAAGGGATCTTCATTCAGACTTTACTGCTGCCACTTAATGCTGACGAGCCCAGGACACCTCGTAGACGGGAAGACACACACGGAGCACGTCCAGGGAATGAATGCAAGACTCCGCAGGCTGCTGGGCGGCTGCGAGTTTGCCCCCCAGGCTCTGCGATCACCAAGGGCCAGGACGTGGACTCTGCCGCACGCTCTTCACCAGCGATCGGCAGCGCGGCCGGGAGCAGTTGTTCTTGGGTGCCCAGTGCGTCCTCTGCTTATGTGCTCTGGGTTTCTTTGGAAACCCCCTTTCCCTCATCTCAGCTGACCCCAACTGTAGCTCCAGCTGTGGACGTGAGACCCGGGGTGCAGCTCCATGCCACCCGCCACAGAGATGGGTCTAGGGATGGACAGGTGACTGAGTCCAGACCAGCGGGAGCTTTTCAGGGACAGCTGCGATTGCAGGCAGGACTGAGCCCTGTGTGGTGGGAGGAGCCTGCTTGCAGAGCCTGGCTAACATAGAGGTGGCCTAAAACTGTTGTGCCCCTGGGGGAGAATGCCTGGGGACTGCGGGAAGTGTTCTACAGTCCTGAGACCCAGCAGTCAGTGTCCAAGCTCCTCTTGGAGACAGAACCACCCCTTGAAGGCCTCTGCGCCTCTGCTCTCAGATGAGCTGCAGGTAACAGGGTCTCAAAATGCAGGGCCAATGAACAGCATGAGCCCCGACTTGGGACCAAGAGGTCTGGGTTCAAATCCCAGGGCCACCAAGCACTAGCCAGTCGCTCCCGACTCTGATCGTCATCGTTTTTATCTGGGAAAGGGGCCTAGGTAATATGAAACCTGCTTTTGTGAGAATTATGGCTTCCTTATCATGTTGTTAAATATGTATTTGTGTGATTATTTGATTACTTTCCACAAAGACCAAGTCTACACTGCCTGGAAAGTCAGCAGGTGCTTCATAAATACTTGTTAATAAGTATATAAATAGAGAAGACCAGCAGGTATGCCCTTGGCTCAAAATGGATGGCAGTAATATCAGTCTCCCTGCCTTTTGGAGCACAGTTCAGACTCCAGGGCCGACATGGGCAGGTGGGTAAGGGATCTCAGGTAAGCTGCCGGCTCTGGAATCCTCGCACCCTTCCTAAATGCACCAGGTGGGCTTAGTTTCGACCAAACACTGCTCCTTGGGACTGTGGCTAGGCCAGCAGAGCTTTCAAAAGAAGCCAGAAGTGAGGGTTTTTAGGTAAACATTTCTACTTTTGGACTTGGATGCACACACACACACACACACACACACACACGGAAAGGCCACAACACATCTGGGGGTGGATTTAGCCCTGGGGTGACCAGTTCATTACAACTGAACCACATCTGGGCCCCTCTTCCATGTAGGAGCTCAGACCACACAGTCACGAGTGACCCCCGAAGGTGACTCTGCGTACGTACCAGTCAGGGACTCAGAACTCTGGTTGGGGACGTTGTGCGGTGCCTCCTGGAGGACGTAGGTGGACGTGGACAGGGGCGAAGGGCAGAGGCTGCCGGCCGGGACGTAGGGAGCGCTGTAGGATGAGCTGTAATACTGGGGGTACTGGCTCTGGGGGAAGCTGGGGTAGGAAGGATAGTCCTGGGGAGAGAGAAAAGCCCAGCCCGGCGTGAGCAGGGGGCCTCCTGGGCTGCGCCCCCCGGGCCCAGAACTGTCCCATATGAGGGTGAAGGCTCTCCAAGGGCGGGGGTGTCCTCACTGTGGTTTCCCAGGAGTGACTCTAGGACAAGGACCAGCGCCAGTAGCACATTTGGAAGGGGAAGGAGACCCCAGGAGGGGAGGGGGGTGAGCGCGAAGGGAAGGGAGGGCAGCCTGGTCAGCTTCCTCTGGGCGCTGAGCTGACCCGCGCTGGGCATCCCGGGGACCTGGGCTGGGGCTGGGGGTTACACCCCACTTCACCCCCTTCGAGCTCTGCTCCAGGGGTGACACCCCGGCACTTCCTGCCTGCCCTGTGCACTAGAAAAACTCCCAGGGACAGGGACGCAGGGATGGGCAGTTGGAGGTGACCCTGAAGGACAAGCTGTGGCCTCGACAGTCATGTTGGCCACTGTTGCGTCCCCAGCACTGGGAACAGTGCCTGGCACACACCGTAACTCAGTGAGGTGAATGAACAATGAAGGCCACTTGTACCCAGGAGCCCAGGTCACTTTGGGGCTCCTGAGAGAAAGGTGCAATGTAACAGCCCCTGGAAGCGTAAGGGATCCAGAATGTTCTTTGAGGGCGTCACGGAGACCAAGTCGATGATGTCGATCCCCTTTGGTCAAGTTCATCTGTCCAACTGTCCCAGAGTCACCGTTTCACACGGTTGGTCCCACCGTCCCCATGACCAGTGCTCCTCCCTGCAGGGGACTCTCAGGGAGGTCGGCGTCCTGGGCTCCAGCCCAGATCTACTGAGTCAGAACTTCCAGGGAGTCTGTGTTCTTGAGAAGGTCTTATGGTGACAGGGACAAATGCCTGGGTCCCTAATCATACCTACAGAAGTTCTGTGGCACTGACGAGTGTCTTATCTCTGTACGGAGTCCACTGGAAGTTCACAAGCACACGTGGAACGATGTTTGTGTTTTCCAAGTTTCAGTGACTCAGCTATCTCATCTCACTGAAGGAGAAATGGTACCTTCCTCATGGGTCCAGAGGCCCATCTGCCCTGGCACAGTTTTAAAACTAGTCTGAAAGCACCTTCGTCTCTTGTTTAGAAATAACTGGAGACACACAGGCGGGGAGTGCCGACGGCACCGGCTCTGAGCCCTTCGGCAGGAGAATTCCCTAGGAACTCCCGAAGTGAACCGGAGGCTCTCAATACCAGCTGGCACCTGGTTAAACCAGGATTTTTGAAGCACCTACTATGTGCAGGGCTTTTAGCCTTGGGGATGCAGAGGTGAGCAGGCTATGCCGCCCCTTTGGGAGGCCGTGGCCTGGTGAGAAACACCTGCCCCTCACTCCTAGACGCAGCAGGTGTGGGGGGGCGGGGACAGGGCAAGAGTGAACATTTACCCCCAGGATATCCTGGAAATCTTCAAAAAGATCTTTCCAGTGGCCTCTTGCCCAATCGGCCCCTGTGGTCTGCAAACCTGGGGACTCAGAGGAAGGAGTTCTGGTGGACACCATGTGGAGTGGGCCCTCTGGACCCCCGGATTTGAGGGGAACTTAGAAAATAGCCGTGTGGGCCGCGCTGACCTGGTGCACCCCGAATCCCGCTGCGTTGGTCAGCCCGTTTGTTCCTTGGTAGAGGCCGGCCGTACCTGCAGGAGGAGACGGGGTACAGATTAGGCTTCTCATAATCAGAGAGAGAGGTGGAGGAGAAGCACGTGGTGGCCAGGTGGGTCTTGGAGGTCTGAGGCTGGGGCAGGATCAGAGCCTCCATTACCAAATCTCTCTGAAGACAAATCACGTCCTTCTGCAGGGGACACTGGGGACAGAAATGAGACACTGCACACAACACTGATTCCCTTGACCCTCGAGGTTTGTGTTCTTATGTTATTTATTTTACAAATTCTTGTCAAATGACCCAATATTCACCATCTCAGCCATTTTAAAGTGTGTTGCTGGGCGGCGTGATTGACACCGTGTGATCCTGGCGTCCGTCTCTAGGACCTTTTCCAACTTGTAAAGTCGGAACTCTCTGCACTGATCAGCCCCCCACCCCTGCCATGCTGCTTCCTGACTGTCTGACTAGGCCAGGAACCTCGTCCAAGGGGACCCCACAGTGTTCATGACGGGCTCATTTCACAGGGCACAGTGTCTTCAAAGCTCATCCAATGATGCGGCCTGAGTTAGATTTCCTTCTCTTTTCAGGATAAAGAACATTCCACCGTGCGCATAGACCATAGTTCACTTATTTAATCATCTGTCGATGGACATTTGAGTCATTTACAACTTTTGCCCTTGGATAACGCGGCTATGAGCACGTGTAGAGGTGTCTCTTGGAGACCCTACCTTCGATTCTTTTGAATATATACCCAGAAATGCAATTGCTGGTTCTAGGGTAGGTCTGCTTTTTATTTTGTCTTCCATAGATTGTCCCACTCCACGTTCCCACCACCAGTGCACGAGGTTCCAGTTCCTCATCTTTACCAAAATTTATTTATTATCATTTTAGAGTAGCCATCTCCATGAGTGTGAGGAGGTAATGATTTTGTCCTGAATAAATAAATGAGATGACGTTACCTCTCTGAGCTTTAGTTTCCCCATCTACGAAATGGGAATAAAATGTACCATTATTACTAGAAAGTGCTCTTCAGTGGATAAGTAAAAGGATTCACGAGTGGGGTAGTGTTTAAGACGGGGTGGTCAGGGAAGGAGAATCTGAGATGACATTTGAGCTGAGACATGATTGATAAGAAGAGGCCAGGAATGGAAATATCTCAGGAGGAAGAATATTCATAAGTACTGAACTGCAAAGGCCCTGTGGTAGGTGGGCATTAACTTGGAAGACCAGAGAAATGGGAAAAGGGCTGATGGGGCAGGAGCCTGCAGCGAGAAGGGAGTGACCCAGCAGTGATCTGTGTGTGTCAGGCACCATGCTGAGCTCTTCATGGGGAAAGAGAGACATAGAAAGGTCCAGTGCCTGACCAAGGCCACATAGGTAGGGGTGACAGCAGCTGGGAGAGGCTCCCAGGCAGTCTGGCTGGGGTCTGTTCTCAGCAATCTACACATGGCCTCTGTTGCATTTTAAAAAACTTATTAGGGTCTAATTTATACACTATAAAATCCCACCACTGTGTCTGTTTGACGATGTTTAAAGCACTGGTGGAATTATGCAACTGTCTCCATGATCTAGTTTCAAAGCATCTGTTACCCCAAGGTTCCCTTCTGCCTGTTCACAGCTAGTCCCCAGCCCCAGCATCAAGCTGCCCCGGAACTGTTTCTGATTCTCTAAAGAACTTTCTGGAAATTCATGTAAATGTGATGGTAGAATACATGTCTGCACCATTCACCCAGCGGGGGCTTAGTTCTCATCAATGTTACAGCCAGTGTCTGAGGTTCACTCTTTTTTTTATCGCTGAATAGTTTTCCGTGGCGCATGTGTACAGCGTCCAATGTTTAACTGTCATGGATGATGGAACAATAAACATCTGTGTACCAGGCTGTGTGTGTGTGTGTGCATGTGTGTGTGCGCACGTGTGTGTGTGTGTGGTGTGTATGTGTGTATGTGTGTTCATGTGTGTGTGTGCATGTGTGTGTGAGTGTGTGAGTGGACTGTGGAGTTATGTGGTAAGTGTATGTTGGACATTGAAATAAGTGGCCACATTGTTTCCCAGAGTGTCTGGTCATTTTGCGGCCCTACTGCCCAGGCACGAGGGTTCCCGTTTCCAGGGTCTCCAGCCTCTGTATTCGGTCTTTTTGGTTGGAGCCATTTCAGTAGGTGCCTAGTGGTATCTCATGGTGACTTTAAGTACCATTTCTCTAATGACTAATGATGTTGGATGATTTCCACGTGCTCATTAGCCTCTCAGGTGTTTTCTCTGGTGAAATGTCCACTCACAGCTTTTACCTAGCTGGGCACAGTGTGCACACCCGTGATCCCAGGTTTTAGGAGGCTGAGGCGGAACTCAGTCCCCAAGTCTGAGACTAGCCTGCGCAACAGGGTGAGACTCCACCTAAAAAAACCTTTTGCCCATTTTTTGAAAAGTTAGACTTGTCCTCTTATGAGTTATATAAATTCTTTAAATATTGTGGAGACAAGTTCTTTATCAGATGATTCATAAAGTTATCTCCTAGCCTGCAGTTTATCTTTTTCAGCTTTTAATAATGTCTTTTGAACAACAAAAGTTTTTAAGTTCTCAGTTGTTTCTTTTCAAGTCTCTTTTTACAGAAGTAGCTCTGACATTTAGGTCCATGATCTAACCTAAGTGAATCTTGATGTGAGCACAGCTGGCTGGGCCTTCCTGAGCATTCCCACGAGCTGATGGGCAGAGAACAGATGGACACTTAAATGAACTGCAACCACATCATGTAAGAAGTTCCCACGGGCTGTTTTTTCTGTGGTGGCTGGAATGGACTCCAGGGGTCTTTTCCAGGGACAGGTCAGGAGCAGGTAGAGGACAGGCAGTAGGGAGCTATGGACACCTCCAGGAATGTCCAGGGTGACAGATCATAAGGAACAGAAGGGCTCAACCTGCTCTGCATTAGCATCTCCCAAGGAACCAAGCCAAGCCGACACCTCTCTGGAGAGGTCTAATGCACAGCAGGGTTGGGAATCAGGAGTTGATGCTAGATCCTCTCATCCACATGGGAAGGCCGAGGCCCCAAAGGGAAGGCAAGTGGCCCAGAGCTGTGACTCAGAGCCTTGGTAGCAGAGACGGGCGGGAGCCGGCCTCCTGCCTTTCCTCGGCAGCACATAGAAGCACGAGTCCCACAGGGCACCGGACCACGAGTTCCTTCCTCATTCAGCTGGGACTGCTGAGCGCCATCTGCACAAGCCCTGAACCAGGCATTCGCACCACGTGCCACTTCACTGTCACACCAACCCCGGGAGGGCACAGTCACCAGCCCCAGTTCTATTCAGAGAAAGGAGGGCTGCGGAGCAGGACTTGCCAAGGTCCTAGAGCATTCACCTGTGAGGGTGGGATCCACTGTTTCTTCACGCGAACACAATGCGGCCCAGGGCAAGGCCATCCAAAGACAGCGGCTCTGCTCCTGGCCCACGGAGGCCAGAAGGAAGGGGCGCACGCTTCTCACGAGCTTAAGGAAAGAGCCGTCAACCCGAGTTCTACAGCCAGAGGACATGTCCTTCAGGGTGAAGGAGCTGCCAGGCACCCTCAAGTAAGAACAATGGAGAGAAGCCGACCTCCCGGAAAGTTCTTGAAACAGACAGGAAGTTAGTTCAGACAGATTTAAGGAGTCAGAACATGGTGATAAGTCCTGCAGGACGGCTCCCCTCTGTGGGCTCGCCTGGCCACTCACATATAGTTGGCTCATCGGCTCCAGTTTGCTGCCAAATCATCGGAAGTTTCAGCCGCGCCTTGTAACTGTACCAAGGACCGCCATGGGTCCACAGGCACACCTCTAAACGGACCTTACCCCATACTGCAACGTGCTGGGTGCTGGGAAGAAGCCGAGAGGCTCTTGGGGACCGTGTTCCCAGGGAGTTTTAGGGCACAAACAAGGTCCTGAAAGCTGACTGGGGAAGAGGTGGGATCAGGGAAGGCTTCCTGGAGGGAATGACAGCCAAACCCACCTCCAGAGGACGAAGAGGGGCCAGCTGGGTGGGGAGCTGCCCAGCCTGGGAACCCTGCCATGCCCGGGCCTTCTCTGCTGACTGTCACCTCCATCTGCTGGGCTACGGCAGATGGACATCAGGGACATTTTGAGCCTGTTGTGGTGGAGAACCTTACCTGGTTGATTGAATTCCCTGAGTTTTAAGTAAAAGCTGACTTTCGGCCCCTGGCTCAGTAAAACTCTCTGAGGAGACACTCACTCATTCACTCCCTCCTGCCAACCATCGTGTGTTTCCTGGTGAGTCCCCAGGGTCACCACGTGGCAGCCACTGTCCTAGATATGGGGTGGCACCTGACATACGGAGAGGAGACAGACAACAAGCAGGAGAGCAGATCCGCGAGGAGCGAGGATCAATCCAGACAGACCACAAGGGAGCGATGGCCAAGCACAGGCTGCTGTGCCCTGCAGACCCGCCCACGCCACAGGGCGCCCCACGTCCAGAGAGAAATACAGAAACTGGGGCGAGGAGTAGACACCTCTAGAGTAACCCACAGAGGAACGATAGGTCTGCCAAATCTAATAACAACAAATCAAATTGCATTTTTGGATTTTGTTTTAAAATAATCTAAAAAATTAAAATAGTTCCAAATTTCCCATTTCTCAACCTGTTTTCCATTACTGCCAGCCTTCTCCAGGGATGGTTGTTGTTTTGTACCAGGGATTGAACTCGGGGACACTCGACCACTGAGCCATGTCCCCAGCCCTATTCTGTATTTTATTGAGAGACAGCGTCTCACTGAGTTGCTTAGTGCCTCGCTTTTACTGAGGCTGGCTTTGAACCCACCATCCTCCTGCCTCAGCCTCCCGAGCTGCTGGGATTATAGGCCTGCACCATGGCACCCAGCTCCGGGGATCATTTTAGACATTTTTCTCCCTAACAATCCCTCCTTTCATGAAAATTTAACATTCAAGTTATACTATTCGTCTGATTAGGTACCGTGCGTGCGTTTGTGCTTTAGATAGAACTGCGTAGACTGTAGTCCCTTCAGGAACCGCGGTCTCCCTGGCGGGGTGGGGGTGG